TAACAATGGTAAATAAATACAAATTTTGTTAATTAGATTATTAATTGTTAATTTATTTATTACTAACAATCTTTTTTTATTCTTGTTTAATTAATTAATTAGATTCTAATAATAAGGGAAAGGATGTTGAAACATCAATGGATGATTAATTTAGTCTCCACTATAAACTTATTCATATAAATTATATTTTTATTCTTAAAACTTTGTTATATACAATAATGTTTGAAATAATAAATATTTTACAATTTTAATTCTTGTTCCGGAGCAGAGAAATACTTTGAATTGGGGTTTTCTTTTTCTTTGCATTTGTTGATTGTTGATTTTCTCTCATTTCGCATAATGGTGGAAGTACCATTTGTAGTATTACATCATTCTAATGAAAATTCTTTATTAATGATGTTAAATGTACATTATAACATTCATTTTCAATTTCAAAATGGTATATTAATTTTGTTATTATAAGCTAATTGACCAAAAAGATAATTTTCATTTAAACAAGTAAGATGTAATGTATTTATAAATGAGTTAAATAATAAATAACTTGAAAACCTTTCAATTTACTATTGATTTAAACATGATGGCATGTTTGAATGATGTGGGTATTGTTTTTATTCAGGTATATGTTACAAAATTAATTTTAAGGTAAAAATAAAAATTTATTATGAATATATGTATGAATTGGATAGAATAATTAATTATAATTTACAAAGTAAATGAAAATTATAAATCTACTAATTCAAAATTTTTCTTCAATTCCTTAAATACTGAAGGTAAAAATTTTTCTCAATAATTCAGATTCATCCTCTAACCAATTATTATTTTATGAGTTATAGGTGATATTGACATTGGTGATATTAGTCTCTTATTATTATTATTATTTAATACTATTAAATAATTGTGATATCTCAATGATATTTAGTGAAAAGCTTAGTAAAGAAACATATTCATCATTTGTATTTGGTGATGGGTTGAATGTTGTTGATAAAGACTCTTAATAATAAACAAATAGTTAAAATCCTTCATCAATGTTAATATTTAAAAATTATATTTTACCTGCTTCTACACTTTCTTCTATTTTTTTCATATATAAAAATTATTAATTACTGAAAAATGCTCTTTTTAATTAGATCAATGTAAAAGAATTGAATCAACATTTTTGTCAGAAAGATCCATCCAATGTTCATATAATTTATCCCAATTGATATTTTTCTAATTTGATTTAGATGATTTTTATAAAGTTCTTTGAATTTACTGTGTTCATTGGAATTAAAGTTACTGGTGCAAACATAACTTCTACTTCTTTCTTTAATAAATAATGATGATGATTAGCATTTGTTACCATTAATTAAAATATTATTAAGATTATCATTATTTATTGTTGATGGATTACTAGATGCAGGATCACTGGTATCATAGATAAATTTAATAGACTTGATATCATGTCTTCTCCTGATTCTATAATATTTACATTATTCTATCATCATGTTCTGATGGAACAAAATTTTCATCAATTCAGATGTTCTAAGTTTTGTTTTAATTAAATAACTATAATTTCACTTTGGTAAGGAAATAATGAACATTTCTTCAATAGATAGTTACCTTCAACAATGTATTAACTATACAAGGTCCACATACAGTATGTCTAAAAGGAGTTGCAAAAGCTTTATTTGCTTGTTCCGATGATGAGGTTCCATGCAAATATAAAAATTCAAGATAACTGTTAATTCGTGATTCTTTTAAAAATGAGTGATCTGCATTGATTTTAAATAAGGATCGGCGGGGATAATTGCACTATGGTTGGCTCGGTCTAAAGACTTCTTGTTGCTGCGCCACGTGCTCAAATTTCAAAAATTGCAATTTCGTGATTCGTTCAAAAATGCAATAAAATTTTTTAAAAAAGGGTTACACGTGATTTTGGTTAAAAAACTATTTTTCTTACTGCCAAATTTAGATATGATGGTCGAGTATTAGGCTAAATTTAGTAATGATAATCAAACCTAGTCTAAATTTAGCAATGATCCTAGCGCTCAAATTTCTCATGAGCATAGTAAAGTACATGTTTTAAAAAAGAATAGAACTCTACAATAAATAATTTTTTGGAGAAAATCTCTTCATTACATTAAAAGTAGAAACCTATTTTACCAACTAATGAGGCTATTTTTTTAAAAGGTAGGACAGAAAATGACTTCTATACTTTTAAAATTTGCCCAAAATTTAGGAGGTCTTTAGACCAAGCCAACTATAGTTATTATTGATTGATTACAGTCAGGGACAGTGTATAAAATTCAATACCCGCAATTCCCGAGTGTAACGTCATACATTAGTAATTTCCTGCAGATAGTTTCTAAATTTGTAAAATTGCTTCTAAATTTGTACTAGTTACACACCGAAATTTATATACTGATCAGGGAATATACTAAATTTGGTATTTCCTAATTTATAAATGATAAGCATTCTGGAATTTCTGGAAGAAATTTTGGAAGAAATTTGATTAGCTAAATTTTATGCAACATATATGAATTGATCAACAAAGAAGCATAAATTGTTCTGGAATTGATTTCCAAATTTGGTATATTCCCTGACTGGATTACATTTGACCTCCTGTAGTTATGCAATGTCCTGCAACTAAAAGAATTTTGGAATACTGTCTATATGTAATGCAACTATATAAATTATGAATGTTTATTTGTATGTGTGACAATCTGTATTTCTTTTCATCTTGATTTTAAACTTTTTTTTTTTTAATAAATAATTTATGTCTTAATCATCTTAACAGCATATCAGTCAGGTGGGTTGAATTTCTCTTAGTTAATGACCATGACAGAGAGACAGAGAACATAGAGCCTAATAAGCAAGAAGGAGTGCCTGTGACAGAGAGCAACTGTTGGAAGCAAGCAATTGTGAGTAATCATCAAGTGATGGTTGGCTGACTTCATTGTGCAGTATCTATGAGGGCTTGTTTGACACAAAGGGCACCTGCAATAGAGAGAAACTGTCAGAAGCAAGCAATTGCAAGTTATCATCAAGCAATGGACAGCCCTATGTGAAGAACAGCCCAATTTATTCAGTGTTGGAAATTGAGTGCGGGGTTTGTGTTACCTAAGAAATGTGCACATTTGTGACTATGGTTGGCTCGGTCTAAAGATCTCCTATTGCTGTGCCATGCGGCCAAATTTCAAAATAGCAATTTTGTAATTTGTTCAAAAATGTAATAAAATTTTTCAAAAAATATGACTTCACATGATTTTAGTTTTCTTACTGCCAAATTTAGATGCGATAGTCAAGAGCTAGTCAAAATATGATAATATTTTTCCTAAATTTAGAGATGATCATAGTGGACAAATTCCTCGCAAGCATAGTAAAGTACATGTTTAAAAAAAGAATAGAACTTTACAATAAATAATTTTTTTGGGAAAATCTCTCTATTACATTAAAACTAAAGTCATATTCTATCAACTAATAGAGCTATTTTTTTAAAAAGTAGGACAGAAAGTGACTTCTATACTTTTAAAATTTGCCCAAAATTTAGGAGGTCTTTAGACTGAGCCAACTATATAAAAATAAAAACAATAAATATTTTTTTTAACAAGTGTTTTTTTCATTTTTATTTGTCCAATATTCCTATTATACATGTAGCTCAAAGTATTTTGACACTGTCATAAAGGGGGTTGCACATGTAGTAAAGGGGTGTTACACTTATGTTTTTAATAGTGAGTACTGTAATTAATTTCTACTTTCTACCATCAAAATTGGAATAATTTTGACCATTGAAATCACCAAACCAATTTGAGTTGCATGTAATTTGTCTGAATTTTGTTGGTAATATTCTCAAATTGTTGGGAGATATTGTAATGAATACTTTGGTCAGGATGATATTATTGAAAAATTAACAAGTCATTAATGCAATAATTGATGATAAAGGAAATTATCAAGATTTATACTAGTGGCAAATTTTTGAGGTCATGTTTAAAGTTTGCTTATTTTAGTAAAAACCTTATTATAAATTTTTGAATTTACTTATTACCTCTATATTAATATGTATCGCTCTAGGTCCTGGGTAAGCACTTCTATTAAAATGATATTAGCTAATATATATAAGTCAGGTTTGACAGAAGAAAGAGAGGCTACAGGCAGGAGCTATGAAAGTGTAAGGAAATTCTCCCTGAAGAAGGAAATAAGATTAAAGTAGCCAAAGAAGGTTAAATGATTGTGTTTAATATTTAATAACATGATGTTTATTTTTCTATAAATGGGTAAATAATTAAATTTATAAATTACAATAAATTAATTGTCATATATAAACTCCATTACAATTTTCCTTTTCTTTTTTGGTTTTTTATTACTATTATCATTTGTTTTTTTCTTAGTGCCTGCAGATTTTGGGGTAGGTTTGGGTTTGATATCACATTCAACATTAGCTATCCCATTAGATCTGTTTGTAATTTCACTTTCTAGCTCAGCATCTGCGAATTCATCTTTTTGTGTTCCATCTTCAGATATAAGATTTTTAAACTAACAATTCAACATGAAAAATATTTAAATAAAAACCATTAAAATAAAAATATGTGTATATTACATTAAACAAATAAAATACCAGTTCACATTGTTCCAGTATATTATCATCAGTGGTGAAGGGTTTTTCCACAAAAGGCAACCCTTCCCAAGATATGACTAAGGGAGAATTTTGGTGTCGTAATGCTGGTTTGTCTTTATGCGAATTACTTTGTGTTGGATTGAAACTTTGACATTTCCTTATATTTAAGAAAAAAGAAGTCAATATATTTTATATTTAATTCAAATACAGTTTATCAATCTTACATTTCACTTAGTGCATAGGACTTTTTTAAGTGGTCTTTTAAATGCATTAGTATTGCCATACAGATTGAAACTTTAGCCGCATATGGTAATGAAAGAATATTATCTGAATAAAATTTTAATAAAATATAATTTTATATATAATTTTATATTTAAAACAAAAAATAATACCCATATCCAAACTAAGTAATTTATACCTTTATCCCTAGTTGGTATACCTTGTTCTTGGATTTCTGTTTTTGGTTCTTCTTGAAGAGAATTTGACATTTTTATATCATCATCTTTACTCTTTGTGTTGTATTCAATTGAATGGAGAATAGTTATTCCAACAACAGATAAAACTCGATTTATACAATATATAATATGCAAAACCTCCTCAATAGTCTTGTAATCTATAGTAGCTAAATTCTCTGCAACAAATTTGCAAAAACCTACATCTACCTAAAAATAATAGAATAAAATTTTTTTAATTTCATATAATTTAGTGAGATCTTTATTGATTAATATAGTTATTATACCTTTGATTCATCTGAGTTTTTCAAGTCAAAATCAAAAGTTTTGACAATTGATATTAGAAAATCATTACGACGTTGTCTTTTTTCTTTCAAAAGAGAGTACATTGGATTGATTAAAGCTTCAGGATGTCCTTCATTTGAACGAAAAGCATAACCTTTATTCATGTGTGTGTATATATGTAAAATTTTCAGTATAAAATTAGGACCAGTGAATAAATTTGAACATCATTCACTCGTAGGATTCTCACCAACAAACGATTTATTCCCATTTAATTGCTTTTGAAAAACGTATGCTTTTTTTACACATTATACACTTCGTGAATGAATCAAAGATGCATGCTTTTCATTTAAATGTTGGTGTAATTTGAATGCCTTGTCACGTATGTTTGATTCTGGACTTGTTTCCATTGCAACTATGGTTGGCATACACTATTTATTTATTCAAATTAATTATGCTTATTTTTTCATGAACATTTTAGTTTACGCGAGATAAGAAAATACTTGCTTTTGGTGTCACACAACTTAATTTAAAATACTCGCTCATTTTATGAATAGGAATTATGACAAGCTAATTAATTCAAGAATTTACATAAAAAAGTGAGTTTAAAATACCAAAATAAAATTATTTCAATCTTCCTAAAAAATTTATTGTTTCCGTCTAATAAATAGGTCATCAATACTCACCCATCTTAATATTAATACAAATCATAATTTCTGACCCTTCCTTAACCCTTAACCTGTTACGCACAAAATTCCAAACCTTGTATTAATATTTATATTAATTACAAAGTTCAGTAAGCCTAGCTGCGCCAAGCTCTCTTTCACCAGATGCATTTAAACATGAGATCGAAAAATAATAGGCAGCAAGTTTTGAAAGTTTTGTGCATTCATATTGATATTTTTTTGCCATTCTAGAATATCCTTTTGTATTTTCATTGATAAACACAATCCAGCCAAACGATACAACAACTTCTGCTTCTTTCTAGATATAGTCGTCGGACATGGAGGTAATTATTATTTAATAGATCCAATTTTGGCAATACTTGCGCTAGTTCTTGAAACCCAAACCCACAAGGTCGTAAATCTTTGCAAAAAATTAACATTTTTTTGGTTCATCTTTAATTTTTGTAGGAACTTCTTGGATAAATGTCAGACGGATATTTAGTATTCTAGTAAATGTAGTGGCTAATTTGAGGATTCAAGTTAAAATTGTTATTCATAGAATTATTAGTAATGGTAATCTATTTTTATATTTAAAATTTAAATCTTGACAGCAATTAAAAAATGATAGAATTATTCCTATTAATTTACATCAGATCCACAATGGAACGCAAAAATTACAGTACCGATGGAAATAATATTATGAATTAATTGACAACAAATAGAATTGGATACAAGAACCAAAGAAAAATAGCATCAGTTAGAGAAATTAAAAAAGGAAATCTAGAAAACATTTTTGACCCTAAAAAGAATCCATAATAATAAAAACATAGGTTATAATAATAAATTTTATTATAGTGTTTTAAATCCATCTTGATACCAAACAAGAAAGAGCACCAACTGTTACATGGGTTTTGATTTCCTCAACCAACTCACATGCGTAAAATAAATGTTTTGATTTCTCAGCTACTCAAATTATAAAAAACCAGTGACAATTAAAATCAATTGATTGTAATATCCAGGATGATGATAATAATGTTTCTATGAGACATAGCAAAAAAACAACTGAGCACTTTAAATAAATAATAGTAGTAACAAGTATAGCTGAACTATCACCAAAAGAACTAATTATCAGTAGATTCCATTTAAGATTTAAATAAATGCAGCTCCCATTTGTTCCAAGGTACAATAATTTTCCTATCCATCCCACAGAAAACTGAAGTATTAATGTCAGAGAGTCAGTAGTTATTAAGGTTTCCAGTCCAAAATGTTTTCTCAAACCCAAACTAGTTTGGGCAATTTGGGCTTCTCAGCATTTTTATAAGCATGAACATTAAAAACTATGCCAATCAACTTATTTTAACTTAAACAACTTTAAAGTAATTTCGTTAATAACAAAAAATAGTTTGGGCTTATAAAAAAGTAATTTTTGCCCAAAATGTTTCAGCAATTTCGGCTACTAATAAAGAGAGTTTAGGCCAGAAATCTTAGTAGTTATAACTGGTTTTCTTCTTAATTATAAGTTCTTTGGCAATCATAGCATATATAAAATTAGCAGAGGCACTGGCTAATTCTTGTTCTAATTTATTATTATAAAGTTAATACAAAAACTATCCATCTTTACCACTTCTTAAATCTTTAAAAAATAATATAAACATGCTCATCTAAGTTAGGTTAAATTATTTTCTTTCAATTTTCAAGTTCTTCATGGTTTTGTGTTAATGTTCTTTTATTATTTATGATTTTTTTAAAGTTCATAGGTGATTCTCTCTTTCCTTAGAGAATCACTTAATTTGAAATATGGAAAACAATTTTCTCACCTTGTTCCTCTTTCAAAATGCTTCTAATAGTGCTGTAATTCTTTGATTCCATAGTAGATCTGATGTAAGTTAGTTTTATATTTATGTTTTTATTTATACTAAAAAAAAATAACATATGAGATACTGTAAAATTGTTATGTTAGCAGTAGAATAGTAGTGATTTATTGTTAACATCTCACCTTTAATTTGGACCAAAAGTTATAAACATTATGTTTCTAATACATGTGATAATTCACATACAGTGCGGATCATCTATACTCAAAAGTTAAAATTTTTGAAATATTATGTGATCCACACATTGGATTTTAAAAAACTTACCACCATTCAATTCAGCTTTAAAAGGG